CTACCTTCGCCTTGCTAGGAATTTAGTTGTTAATGAAAGAGGATTACACAGGATATCTTCAACAACTGCATCAATTGCACTACCTTGTTCTATAGGAACATCTGCAATAATACTTTCAGTATTGATATCAGAACTCCCATTAGCACTCCTGACTTCCTTTTCAAATAAAGGAAGAACATCAACTGAATCGCTATTCCCTTTTTCGTTCAACACTATATTTGTTGCCTCCTTATCATTAAGATCTACTATCTCCACTCTTTTATCATCTTCAACACTCATAGCTGGAGTTTTTTCAGAACCGGAAACAGCATGAGCATTCACAGTTACCTCATCATTTAACTCATAAACACTTTTTTTTCAGAGAATTCAGAAATAGCAGATGGCTTTACAGGATTTCCAAAATTTTCCTTTTTAGTAACAGCTCAAATAGAAACAATAGGTGGAATAGAAATAGCTGATAAAGGTTTATCACCCAAACCAACCTTAGGCTTATAAAAACTAGGGGTGTCAATATTTGACACGACACGACAACCCGACCCGGAAAATCCGGGTTGGACCCGACCCGTTTGATAAACGGGTCGGGTTCGGGTTCACAGATTTGACCCGTTTGATAAAACGGGTCGGGTCGTGTTGACCCGGCGGGTTACCGGGTCAACCCGAAAACCCGTTTAATTTAAAAAAATAAAAAAAAAATGTTTCTGTACAAATGAGTTCCCCGCGGGTCCGGGTTGAAATGTCCGACCCGTTTGTAAAAACGGGTCGGGTTCGGGTTGACCCGTTTAGATACGGGTCGGGTCGGGTTCGACCCGAACCCGGCGGGTTGACCCGAATTGACACCCCTAATAAAAACCTGCTTTAGTCTTGACTGTATATTTACCAACATGAGAATTAGCAACAGATTTTGATCTATAACCTGAGTAGAATATCTTCCTCCCATAACTCACATGAATTCAGGGACCATAATTTTCAACATCCATAGACTCCTTCGATGCACATGACTCGGATATTGATATTGATACAGGACACATATGAAACTATGATTTAGATAAGGATTTTGCACGCTTGATGATTAAGAGCAAGTTAACTAAAGCTTGATGTTGATTTAGACAATGAAATAAAACACAAGAGCAATAACAAAAGCTTAGGCCAAGTCACTTGCAAAAAGTAAAAATCACATAACAATCAATTACTCTTGACATTACAAATGAAATGGATTTCAACAAGAAATCCCTAATCTAACAATAAGAGTAGTGCTATGCAAGTTCTCTCACTCAACTCCTAATAAATACTAGGCTTTAGCGGGAAGAATTAACACAACTTTTCATGAGTCAATTAATAACTACAATTGAGAGTGACTAAAAGATAAAAGAGTAGGAGGAAAGTTCACCCAAATAAACACGACAAACAAGGCTCCAGTGTGGTGTTTATGGAAGTAGACAGCAACCTTTGATTCTTCTTTGTCTTTGGACAGCAATCTGATTTTAAAACCAGCGGAACAGCAATAGGAGATGGTTACGAATGCTGGGACAGCAACTTTGACACTTGAAAAATTCTGGACAGCAATCTCCAACACTTGTATAAACCTTGGGCAGCTGTTATTAGGCTGTTAGAGGCTTTTGAACAGCAATTTCAGACCTCCCAGGGTGCAGGACAGCAGTTGGTAATGGCATGGACAGCAAGATGAAAATCTGGAATTTCCTGGGCAATGCAGATTGTGCCCAGAAATCTGGATAGCACTCAGAAATCCAGTAGAGGAAGAAAACCAAGAGGTGGAAGTCTTGGGGAAGACAGCTAGGGTTGAGGAGAGTTACGGGATTGATTGGGGAATTAATTTTAGGGAAATTAATGGGATAGGAGAAAGGTAGGGGGGCGGCTAGATGATTGGAGCTTGATTGGATTCAAATTAGGGAAGGGTTTTAATGGGAAAGGGGAGGAAAAGGGGGAAGGCCGGCCATGCATGAGAAAATTAATTGGGATTTGAATTCTTTTCCATCATAGGTGATTAAATTTGGAAAGAGATTTAAAGGGAAACCTCTAATTAAATTCAGATTTGGGATAATAGGAAAGTTTCCAAATTGAATCCTTCTTAATTTAGGAAAGGATTCAAATTTAAATAAATTTGAATTTGGAGTTTGAAAACTTAAATTTAAGAGGATCTAAATTAGGTAAGCTTCCAATTCTTTCCTTAGAGGAGTCTTGGGAGAGAAAAGGAAGGTAGATGGGAAAGGGGCCAGCGGCATGGGGGGGCAATGGAGAGTTTATGGAAGCATTTAATGCCTTCTTGATTTAAGGAATTAAATTTGGGAAGAAATATCTCATCCCAATTTAATTTCAAATTCAAATAGGAAGGGATTTGAAAACTTTTCTAAAATAGGATTTATATTTTAGGTAATAATTTCAAATTCAAATAGGTTTGAATTTGTAATTATTTGAGTTACCTAAAATATGTAGAGCTAATTTAGGAAAGTTGTAATGGCTATTGATGTGGGAGGGGAAAGGAAAGTGGTGACAGGCGGTTTGGAATAGGGTTTAGTTAGGATTTGTGGGTTGAATGGTTGGTGGGGGGAGTTGGCCGGCGACAAGGTGGATTGTGGTTAGGGCATCCGGCAGCTAGGAGGTTGAGGATTGGATGGGGATGTTGGTGGCTTAATGGGGAAGGAGGAAGGGAAAGAAAAAGGAACAGAAGAAAGGTAAAGGAAGAAGAACCACGAATCTGGCCATCTCCAAGGTTGGTGGGTGATCCGATTTCCCTCCCTAGGGATTTCTCCGAATCTCTCTCCTAGAACTCTCACAACTCTCCAAAGAACTCATGTGCAGGAATTTTCTTAGATTTCATTCATTGATTCTCAAAGAAGAAGATGGGGGCTTTATATAACCTATACAATGATAAAATAAAAAGTACTACAATGCCCCTAGGGCTTACACATACTTAAGCCCTTAAGGGCAAAAAAAGGAAAAGCATAATAAACTTCATAAAATAAAAAAATAATACATCAATCATAAATATGAAAATCACAAGTAGCGTGATGTAATCGTGGCTGTTGATCGACGACCACGTCTCTAGTAGATTTTTCCATGTCTTGATGTCCTCATCAGATATCCCCGCTCCATTAACATGATTCTGAATATTTCCTTGTTCCGCAATACCTTCCTTAACCAATTCCCCATTAGAAACTTGTTGATTATCAACCTTATTACAACTTTGTTGATCATGCCCAACTCTACTAAATTTATAACAAAACGAGGCAATTTTTTCATATTGAATTTTTTGATAAAATCTTCCATAGCTACCTTCCACCCAGATACTTTAAGAAAGTTTCTCATCAAGCTTAATATGAACACAGGCCCTCACAAATTCTCTTCTACCCTAGTTAAACATGTTACCATCCAAATACATAGGAGTACCAACCATAGATGCTATTCTAGTAATATTAATCTCATCCCAACATAATAATGAGAGATGTGAAAAACAAATCCACATAGGAGAAAACAAATTCTTCATAGTTACTGGGGAGATTTTAGGACTCCAATTTTCCATGCCAATAATATGACCTCCTACAAACCAATGTCCCCCACTAAGCACAACATCTTTAACTTCAGGCGAATGGATTGAACACATTTGCTACTCCATTCCTAAGTTAGTAAGATGGAAAGCACTCAAATGACTCTATTGTCTCCTTAATTCAATACTAATAACCGAAAAAGAAATATAATTTCCAAACACTTTGATTACCACATAATTGCGGAGTCTATGAATATTTGATTTTTCATTTTCAAGATGCAACTTGGCTGCAACACCATCTTCAGACATGCACATTTTTCTCCGGGTTGTCAATCTTGATATTTGGTAGTTTCCTCAAGGCATTCGATGAATCCATATAAAAAGAAGAATTTAGTGTTATCCACACAGTTGAATTACTCTTAAATTTTTCCGAATCATTCATCATATGAGCTTTATACACACACGACGAATCCATATTAATAATCTTCTTAGGTACAAAATCAACGTTGAGATCGTTTGTAAAACCAGAGGTTGAATTATGAACGGCTTGCACATAAGAAGAAGAATTTCCAATCACATTTAAACTTCCAAAGCCAGATTTAGAAAATCTGTTCATGATCAATTTTACGCCAGATGAAGACGAAGCCTCATAATCATTATATGAATTCTCAATTCATCAACATTGATTTTCTTTGAATGAAACATATCATCAGCAACAAGATCTTTGCCCATATCATCATACTCATCAATTTTCTGAACACCAGAAGAATTAGAAGCATAAGGAGCCTCTTTAATGATCAATGGAGATCCACTCAAAGATACCAGACGTGGATTTGAAGATTAAGACGGAGTGACGCCGGCGATAGCCGCCGATCATCCCCTGCCATAACCAAAAAAAGAGGAATTCAAAAGAAACAGGATTTTCTCTCTAGAAAATGGGGGAATTCAAAAAAGAGGGAATTCAAAATACTAAGAGAGTTTCCTAGTATATATTTAGGAAAGTTTAATTGTTTAGGAAAGTTTCCTAAAATATATTTAATTGTTTAGGAAGATTTCCTAAATCATATTTAATTGTTTAGGAAGGTCTTCTAAATCCTGTTTAATTGTTTAGGAAGGTTTCCTAAATTATGTTTATGTTGGTTAGCATTGTTCTATTTATTTAGAAAGGTTTCATATATTATTTTTTTGCTGATTAGGAAGGTTTTAATTGTGTTTTTGTGTTCTAGGGCTATTTAAGGAGGGCTTTGTTTATGGTTTAGGGAGGAGATTGTTGAGTTTATTTTCCTAGTGTTTGTTGCGAGTTCCTAGCGGCATCTAGGATTTGTGGAAGAGCTGATCTGCCTCTCAAATAGTAGATCAATTGTATCTTGCTTTATTATTGAAGGAAAAATAAAAAAATCAGTCCTATCTTTGTGTTCCTATTGCCTCTTCTCTTTTATTTTCTGTTTTTACTTCGAAGACGCATCACTTTATTCTCATCTTTGTGCATATTGTTCAGTTATCGAGGTGGAGTAGACAGCGAGGGGCGCCCAGTGATGGTTGTTGTGGGTGCTCACTTTTTACTTCGATGCCTCGATTTGGAGCGCTTTGTCCTTTATGTAGTAAAGGTACAATTTTATAAATTCAAAGCCATTATTTTAATTCAGTTAATATATAAATTTCTTTATTTGTAAGCTGTTAGAATCCCCTTTCATTTTATTCTATTGTCGAGGTGTATTACCTTTTTGAAGGTTGAGGCTGACATTAAATGTTGCATAGTATTGTTATTGTTAGTTACTTATTTTAGAAGTTTTCAATCACACCATTAAATTCTCCATCTCCCCATCTATACCAATTGCACTAAGAGAACTTTTTGATGCTATAAATTTTAATTCCCGTCAAGATCAATAGCATAATTTGATTTTGGCGTTTATTTTTCTCTTGGAGAGTGTGTGAGGTTCCATCTTATTTGTGATTTGTGAGTCTCTATGACATTGAGAGACTGAAACCTGACTAGTTTTTGTAAATTTCTTCACTATTTTGAAATAGGATAACCCCCTCCAATATCTTCAAATCTACTTCCAATACGCGTCACATGAAAACTTTGTATTAACATGAATTTTTCTATGCCTTATGGCCAAAATATCGTCTTGGCTCAAACATCAGCAACGACGAAGTCACACAGTGTAATCGCAATGAGCTTCGACAATCAGGTGGATGCATCTTTTTTCCAATTTTTAAAATCAAAGCTATGGTGAAGAAGGGTGAGAAGGCTGAGAGCCAAAGATGGGGACAATAAAATGGTAATTAAAAAAATGTGAAGGAAGCATGGCTGGAGAGGGAATGGTTGGCAGGTAGAGAATTTGTTGTTGATCTTCAACACCAGCAATTATGGTAATGGAGATAAGAGCAAGGGGAAGGAAATGGTATAGAAGTTAAAATTGTGGAATGATTGGGATGGGAAGAAATAAGATCATTTGTAGAATAGGGAGAGATCCATGTAGATAGGAAAAGTATGGCTAGAAGGGGTGGATGATAGGCAGACAACTGTTGATTTGGGTTTAGAGTTTAAGCTTTAACGAAGTTCATGTATTCAGGCCTTTGACTTTATTTACATAAGTTCATATATTTAATTCATAATATTTATTCACTTATGTAAATGTTACGTATACACAGAGAGGGAGAGAAGTCTGAAACGTAGACATTTGCAAATAACGGGTCTCATTAATATTCATAGCAAGGAGAGAGTCACGTGGGCAGGAAATTTATACAAAATTTTACAACACTTGCTTAAAGCTTAAACTCTTATGGAGCAACAGTTTTTTTCTCATAGAAAAAAATTAAATTTATACAAAATTTTACAACACTTGCTCAAATCCATGAATGCAGACATAAATGTGGGATGAAGATGTAACACTATTTCCATTTTTTTTTCTCTTTGGGCTGATAATGTGTGTTAAATCTATTTGTAACTTGCTGATGTTACTTTTTTATCAACAGGAGTTTGAGCCTCTGATTCAGAAGCCATACTCAATTGTGTATTTTCATTCTGCAGCATCCTTGCAAATGTAAGTGATTGACTATAAAACAAACCCAAATGAACTATATACAATAATTAATAAGATTACTTGCTATATCCATGCATCTACTATTCAATCATCAATATTTATTCTTACGCCCCTGTAGCTGACTAAATTGGATTGAATATACTTCTAAAAATGATTTTTTTTTTCTGATTAATTGTTCCTGTAAATTCAGGAAACAAGTGTTTGTATTTTGAATTCCTTCTCTCATACTTTCTCATTTTTAACTTAAAAATGGATATAAATAGGCGGCCTGATCTTGGTTGGATGAAGAAGCTACAGCAGGTACTTGGTCGGAAGCACAGGCGAAATCTACATGTTGGTTCTCATATCCTTTTTTTTGGATAAACTTCTCTAGTTGAAACTTTAAATATTGTAATCAGTCCAAATAGTTTTAAGGCTGTTAATGACAGTGATATATGACTTCGTGAAGTTCATATTTTGCAGGCTATTTATGTACTCCATCCAACCCTTGGACTGAGGGCAACTATTTTTGCTTTGCAGATATTTGTTGATGGAGAGGTTTTTTTTTTTAATCTTACTTTAGACAACGTTTAACATTCTTTAATATAGAAATGCATTCACAAATATACCTGCAGAAACCGTGTTGATACCTCTCTGATGCCTCGTGGTTAAATTTCGTTGTTCCTTTCTCAATTTTTTGAAATAGACAATAAGGAAAGCTACTTTATTTTAGTGTAGTACTGCATCAGGTGATTTATGCAATACGCATGGATTTATGTTTTCCCTGATAGAAAATTATGAGGGGGGGGGGGGTTTCATATATGTTACTGAATTCTTATGTATTTACTTATTTAACTTAATAGTTTTTAATATTTTGTTGAATAACATTCAAATCTTCAATTCACATTAAAAATATCACTAACATTAACTTATTGAAAAATAGCATACACCTTTTCAAGCATAAATTTTGAAATGATTTAAGCACTAGAGTTTATATAAATATAAAAATTTAACTATTAAATATTTGACTACATAAGAATTCAGAGATATGTATGTAAATCCTCTATTTTTATGATGCGTATATTTGCACACATTTAATAATATTCATTTATAGAGAACACAGGTTATTAAAATTCTTGTGGTAATACTAGTTACTTTTGCAAATTCATTCTTTCAATGTCACTTACGGTATTTGTGTAAAACTCGCTGCTGTCATTCTACAAACTTTCAATAGAAATTTTTAACAGCACAGGATTGCTTATCTGATAGGCTTGGCAAAAGGTTGTGTACATGGATCGGCTCTTGCAGCTCTTCAAATATGTTCCTCGTGAGCAATTGACCATCCCGGATTTTGTCTTCCAGTAAATTCATCTCTTGCAACCAATTATTTATTCTTTTAATCTGTTGGATATTTTTATTTTGAGATTAAAATAGTGCTAATAAATCACAGGCATGATCTTGAAGTTAATGGTGGAAAGGGAGTTATTGTTGATCCAAGAACAAAATATATCTATCAGAGGCCTTCAGCATGAATGATGCTTTCTTTTTAAGGTTATTTTGTTCTGCTGCTGCTATTTAATTATTCTGCTGCTATTTTGTTCAGTTGTCCTTTTTCGATGTGTGCATTATCTTTTTCTGTTGATTCTCAGACTGGAAATGAAAGCAATGCACCATTTCTTTTGTAAAGTTTCATGGCAATAAACATTCTGTTCATATAAAAAAAAATACTAAAAAAAAAATATTAGATATTGCTCATTTCTGCATGCTGAGAATTGTCTGAAGTGGTTGTTACTCCAGCAAGAACAGACTGATTATCAAAGCCTTTCTGAAAGAACATTTTTTCTCCTACTCAGAGTATGCTATCAAGATTACCAAATTTGTACGATATTATATTATTAGTTTATTACCCTTATGAGGCTGAGTTTGGTGTAGTGGTTTTGTTACTTTTTATATTATATTATAAAGAGTCAAATTGGGTTTGGGTCATTCGACCCAAATTTTCATTAGAATTTTTTTAAAATATTAGAATTTATTTTAAAATGTGTAATAAAAAAGAGTAATTAATCAACTTTTATATTATATTAATCTCAAAATTAATTTGATGCATTTTAAATTCATTCTGATTAAATTTAAATTTTAATATCTTGATTTTTTTCATCCCATTAAATTAACTTGATTTTTTCAATTTAATATATATATATATATCAATTAACATTAGCATTGTTAGATTTTGACTTAATATTTAGTTAAGAATGAGTTTAAAATAGAGGGTTGAGGAAAATGCAAATTATTTATTTTTAGAGTAAATTTTGATGTAAGTTTGTTTTAATAATTTATTATTTTGAATAATGTTGAATAAAAGTAAAATTTTCTTATTTTTTTGGGGAGAATTTGGGCATAGCCCGTATATTAAGCTAAAAAATGTTGCATGTAATCAAATTATAGAACACAGAAGGGCCCAAAACAAGCAGGGATTGCTCACCCGAGCATAAAAATTAGCTCAAATCAGATCAAGCAAAAATAAGGAAAATAAAAGTAGATACATAGAGTTCCCCACAGCATAAACACCTGGACTCAGATTTAGAGAAATTAGTCATTGAATCACATATCCCCTTGGTTGCTCGGAGACTATCCAAAGGGGAGCTTGCATAGGAGCTTCATTATCGTCCAGGCATTGCAAAATAAACATAGCAGGCTAGTAAATCACCCAGCCCACCGAACCAAAAATCCAAAACTCTTGGGACAGAGCTAAATAAGCATAATCCTGTTGCCAAAATACCATAATTCTCGGGACAACCAAACATGCAGATTCTTCAGCAATAATAACCCCACAAAATGCCAGCACCTAGATATAAATAAGGTATCTAGAGGAGTCCTTCCACTTAATAACCTTTTGAAAAGCAGCTTATCTAATGCAATGAGTGGTGGTAGAGCTGCTATTATAAGTGTTGTCAAACCTTCTATTGTTTCTTTCTTTTCAAATGTAATATGTACAGCAATTAAGTCAAAAGGAAATACAAAATTTTAACCGGCTGTGTGATATTAGTATCACCATTAATCCATTCAAGAAGTTGATGTTGGGCCGAAGAAGCAGGTGCTTAGAGCTGGGCATAAGATCCAGAAAAATATCATAAGAGTAAGAGCATTCGAAAAATATATGTGAGGTACTTTCACGAAATACATAGTAAAGAGAGCATGTATTAGGAATCATAATATTACGTTTCTGCAATGCTTCCGCTGTTTTAATACCTCCTACTAAAGCTAGCCAGGTGAAACAAGAATACCTCAAAGCATACTTAGAATGCCAAATCAACTTGTGCCAAGAGCAAGTAGGTGAATTTAAATGATAAGCATTAGTATAATCAATGAATCGACTATGTTTTTTATTATTCCAAATTAAGCAAGTGCTGGAGTTCACATTAATGGGAATACCTTGAATAGCATGAGTCACAGGCGATGGTATAGATTGAGGCAAGTTCCAATAGTTACCTTGAATAAAATCTCTAATAAGAGAGTTGGGAGCAGTTGCTTGAAGCACATAATAGCCATCCGAAATCCATCCATGTTATAGTTATAACACCAATGATCCCAATGTACAGAGATAGGGACAAAAGGAGTAATCATAAATGTGAATTTATCTTTTGCAGAAAAAAGTGAAAGCAATAATTGTACTCATGTTCGCGAGAGATTTTTCTCATTTAGGGGTTGCAAAATCAAAAGTTTGATATTCTCTCACTCAAAGTATTCTTCACATTTCTAAACTTTTTCTATTCTAATATCTTATACTACAATTGATATTATAGATTTTTATAATGGTTTATGTATAAAGCAACCAAAAGTTAAACCCTAAATAGCATTTTCTTAAAAATATGGGATATCGTACAATAAAAAAAAAGACACATCGTACAATAATTTTGTTATATTTTATTGTACAATTAGTTCAAATGATAAAATATCATAACAAGAAAATAATGCTTGATCCAGTACAACTGATATTATACTATATGATTTCTTGTTTCAAATTTGTATTTATTGCCCACTTAATTTTGGTATCTTAATTAAAATAATTTAGATATCTTTTTAGAAAGATAATCGTATGATTAATTTAAATTTTAAATTAATATAATTAGGGAAGTAATAAAAATTTTAAATTTCTTGAGATTAATTGATCTTATCATAATCATACAATATAATCAGAACTGTATTGTACAATTAGATTATAACGAGTCTGTATTTTTTTGATTTTTTTTAAATTGAGTCATTTTTTGTTTGATCTAATATATGTGCTTGTTGTTTCAGAATTTTTTTTTACTTAGAACAAACATTAAAAAAAAAAAAATTATACTTGACTCTTATCCCTTCTTGTTTGAATCAGCATTGCCTAGGTTTGATGATTTTAATCTTAACTAATTGATTTTTGTCCTCAGGGTTTTGATTCATGTCCACGTCTCTGCTTGGGTTATCTTAATTTTAGTTTCACCTATTTTATTTGAATTTAGTGGTTCCATACACCCACACTTGTTAGTTCTAATTAATGCATCTAGTGGATTAAGAAAATAATATAATAATGATAAAGCTAAATTATGTTTGTGATTATCAAAACATGTGTTATTAGTTAGGATCATGTATATTCATTGTTATATTTAAGGTAGACTACCTCCACTATAGATTTTGGGTGAAACCTTTTTGAAAGATTAATTAAAGAGTAAATTCATGTTGAATAATACTCTATAAAAAGAGCAGACAAAATTAGCTTATCAAAGACATATCTGGAAAAAAAAAATTAATTCAAAGATTTTGGAAGACTAGAGAACGGAAGAACTTAATTTATCCATAATCATCTTAAATTGAAATTGCTTTTACTGGAGATGGATATGATAAAGGCAATTTCAACAAATGAAAAAGTTGGGTTATAATTAATTTATCTACAGCCATGATTGAATAAAGGCTATCTGTATTGGAGATATCAAATATAGCCTTTTGAAATCTTTAGAGGAATAGGATGTCCTTGAGATGACCAATTGAGAGTTGGATCCATATGGAAAGAGATTTTACTATAGAGTTTGATGGAATTCACATTTTAAGGATTTTCAAAGAAGGAAATTAGATGAAAAGCTTAAATAAAGCACTTAAATCACAGTTATTCCTAGCGGGGAATAAAGGCTTGAGGTTTAAGGGTTTAGGATTTTAAGGGTTTTTTTTTTAAAGAAAAGTTCACAGACGGGCCTGCATATTTATTTAAAAGAAAATTACATGTCTTTAAAAAGGACATTCATTTTCTAATGCTCCAAGAGCTACATAAAAAGAAAAAAAGAAGAAGAAGTAATGAGGCTCAAACCAATTTTAAAAAAATTATATTAAAAAATTATAATTATTCATCTTGCTCTTTCCACCAACTTTGTTCATTATCCTTCCATCTTTAAAGCCTTGAAAATAAGACCAACAAATATTTAAAGCAATTAAAACAAACAAAATAATGGGAAAACAATTTGTTATCAGGATTAAATAAAAACCAATAAACAAAAATTGTAAATTTTAACTAAGGTGAACAGCTCGATATGCTTAGTATCATCATAAACCAAAGATTATAAATATTTAAATACCTTATGATCAATGAAGGCTCAAAATAATAGAGTATTTTTTTTTAATAAAACTTTAAACATTCATCTTAAACTTTGTCAAAATTCTAAAACTTCTAAAAGAAAATTATGCAAACTCCTTGAAATCCCATCTTGGATCAGTCAGACCAGATTTTGGCCCAATACAACTTTTAGATAAAGGAACACACAAAATTCCCCACATGTGTTAGAAGCCCACGTTGTTGAACTCAGATTTTTAATGTCTCAAAGCAGCAGATAATTCAACCCAATATATTCTAACCATCAAAACACTAAAATTTATTCCCTTATATATGAAATCTATGCAAAATATCAAATCTAAAACAGCATATTAATAATTTTTATACTCAATGATAATTGAGCCGAAATTCAAACATTTGCATAAAAAAATTTATAATCATTGATTAAAATTCTTACAATCTTTGCAAATTAACATTAGCCTTAAATAAAAACAAAATCCAATAAAATCAATCAGATATATGAAATAATAGAAAAAAACTTAATAATCCATATATTAGACCAATCCAAAGAAGTCTAAAAAATTCCAAGCACAAAACTTACTTCCTTATATAAGGTAATCTGATTTCTCCAAATTTAATTTTCCTCTCAAAAGCTAAGGAATATTTATATTTGTAAATATCTTAAATTCAGAAAAAGTCTAAACCTTTTTTTTTTTGAGAATTAGAAGCTGAATTTCCTTCTCTTCAAATATGAGAAATAGATAAATTGAATTGAGATAACAAATTTTTAATATTTTTTTAGCAAATAAGAAAATTTCTGCATTCTCAATGTTATATGAAGAAAAATTTAGCACCAACCTCAATCCAAATTCAAAAAATAAATCTATCAACACAAACGTTAAGAGCATAAGTTCAACACAAAATTAGCCATAAGTTCAGCACAAATAACTATGCAAGGAAGAAGATGACAAACAAAAGAAAAAATAACATTATCTTTATTCTCTTTCTAAACCCCCACAACCATAATTCAATCTAGACACTTAGCCATCAATATTCAATTTGATAATATTATCTATAGGTTTTTTCCAAAGAACAAATTTGGGATAAATATTTGATAATTCATCATTGAGTAATATACCCAAATTTTTGGCTATAAATTTACAATCTCTAAATTGATTATTATTTATAAGAATTGCTTTAAAAAAAGAAAGGATGTTTTCTTTTGTTCTAGCAATACTTCTTTTATGATTCATAGGAATATTCTATGTTATGCA